GCTGCTTTAACTGTATAGGTCTGTACAGTACATTCCACTTGATCTAATGTAACAATAAATAAAGATTTAAGTTTATCTCACTATATTACACGTTTACAAAAAAAATTTTCTATTGGAAATTATAGGCGATACCAAGGAGATCATTAACACCTCAGTATCTACTTGTAAAATCAATGCGAAACGTGACAGAGATAGTTTAACTGTAGAGCTTAACAATTAAGCCACCACAAGGTCATCAGGTAACTCGTAGCCCCTACGGCTACGAGTTACCTGATGACTATATGCTAGGAAAATAAAATTTATTAGGTAATATTCTATGATCGGGGGAGGAGGAGGAACCCCCAATCGGTAGACCCCCCTTTGTAATAAAAAAATGTCTAATGAACCACACCCCTACGGGCGACCCTTTACGAGATATTTGCCTCTCCCTACATCCTTAAAAATATATACAGTAACATCAAGTAGTCCACAGTTGAATGAGCTACTCGAAGCCGGCATAGTCGCGTGGGCTAAACTACGAATAAGTAGGAAAAAAAGCCAATAAAACTTACGACAGCGATAAAAAAGATGTCAGATCCACTTGCGGCTTCCTATTACACTTCTCACAAGACTTCACTAGCATCATTCGTATCTTCGATTTTACCAACAGCCATTTTATTATAAACGGATCGGTCCAAATGTCTAACGAAAGTAAGAATAACGAAGACGTCATTCTCGTTTAATTAACTCGTTCGATATTACGAACGTACTATATCCCTAATGACTAATGGAATTTGTTCTAAAATTTTAAAATAAATAAATGAATAAACATTTTTCTAATTAAAAATCACTTTAAAATATTTGTTAATTATTAAAATTAGTTTTTAAACAGGTATAAAAGGTTGCAAAAGTCAACAAGTGACACGAGCATATACCCTTTTAATAAAATTCATTTTTTAAATAGATCATGAAGCCTATTTGCTATAAATCCTACGTTTTAAAGTGACATTACGGTGTGGAAAGAAGTAAATTGTAAATACAATACAACACAAAAGATTGTTCGTAACATATGTCATTTCATACAGAATTAAAGAATGGAAGGAGAAATTAGACAGCCAAATTTAGTGTAAAAACACATGGCGATTTAATGACAAATTACTTAATTATCCCGAGATCACAACTTTGTCGTACACAAAGGGAATAATTTGAACAATTTTCTATATATTTTTTAGGTCTTTTATACAAATCAAAACGTTCTTTCAAGCGTCGGAAGCAATTTTTTTCTTGAATGTAAGTGGTGCAAACGAAAAAATTATCGTTTTGTAAGAAAAATTCGAATGCGCTGTAGTAGAAACGCACGTTCCACTAGCGAAAATCTGTTGATGTATCGCTGCACACTGTACTGTACTTTGAAACTGGAGATGAGTAAATGTGGAAAACGTAATTCTAGTGGAGTTAGCATCTGTTTGCTGTGTGGTAAAATAGTTTACATTTGTTTTAAATAATGGATAAGGTAGTCATCATCAAAAAGTGTACGTGAAATTCTTATCTATATACATTAATTTATCTAAAAAGATGTACAATTAATGACAATGCATAACATGTACAGGGACTGATGAGGGAGAAGAAGGTCCGAAATGCATTTCCCAGATAATTTAACCGATAAATATTGATTTCCTATTCGGGCGATATTTCCTATTCTGTGTTTAATAAGTCTGATACACAACAGATGTTGATGGCCGTTAATAAAACTAGGAAATTATCTCCTTTAAACATTAAATTTTAATGATTATAGTTGAAAAAATGAATATTTTGTTAATTATAGTTTTTAACAAAAGATAATTGAAAATTTTGAGAAAAAACTTTTATAGAAGTTTTCATCCTGCTTTAAATCATGAAAGCTTTCGTAATTTAACGGTGAAAACAGAATATTGAGAGAACTTTCTGCTAGCAAACGGAGATGAAAAGATATTTTAAAAGCGATAATAAAATGCAAATGGTCAAGCTCTATGAACGGGTCAAGGACGGATTTGGTCTTTGTGTAGGAGGAAAGTTGTAATTTTACTAATTTACACAATTATTTAATGTATAAATACCTGAAATTTATTACAGTGCCCGTATTAATCACTTAATTAAATTTTCATTACAATAGTCGATTAAAATGAGTTTTTGTAGAAAATTTTAGCAGATATTTTATATCTACGATTATTTTATGTACAGAATTTAACATATTTTAAAGATAATGATTTTATTATCTTCTGTGTAAATTACTATTGAAAGATTGAAACAAACGTGCAAAGATTTTCGTAAATATCTTGTGAATTATGTTTCTAAATTCCTACTGATAAAACTAATTGATAAGTTTAAATGTGTATTTGTCCCGTGGACATTAACAAGCACATTTATTTACCTTCTCTCTTCCCCTTTCTTTTTTGTGCCATTTACCAAATGAACTAACAGTAAAAGCTTCGTTGAATTTCCCATTTCAGTTTTCTCCGGACAGTAATTAACCATAAATGCTCCGATTTTATCTATTGTATTTCGAAGCATGTCTGAGACAAAGACATTTAGAATTATTGAACGAGGAGAAAATCATTTTAAACAAGTTAACTCGCTTGATTAACAGTATATAATTTCATATAAAACATGTTTACATCGTCTTTACTCGCAGTCTATCTTCTGTTAGGCGTAAAATTGCGACAGCTTCGGTAAATTAATTTATTCGATCTTCTAAAGTACAGAGTACAGTCGAACTTAGTCTTATATTTCGAAAATTGTTTTACCGTTGCAGAATATCTGTTTTCTTGGAATTCTTGTTTCTTTTGTCCTAATTTCTGGTAAGCTAAATAAACAGAACAATGGATAAAAAAAAAGCAGTAGGAGTCGTCCGAAACTTCCACAGCTTCATGTCACATGCTGAGTTCATCTGCTAGTGATTATCTCTAATCGTTTAGTGTATGGTACAATACAGTAATCAGCGCCCTTTAATTGTCAGGTATTTCTAATAATTTTTAGATGGTTACAAAATCATGACACAAGAGAGTATAAACGTCAAAATTAGCGCGATATTTTTGCAATTTACACATTTCTCTCATCCGACATCGGTTTCTTTTAAACATATCTTTCATATTTGTAATAAATATGCACAGTAGTTAAGGGAGTAAATTTGTTTGTTTCGCCACTACCTGTAGTAAGTTTATAATATTGCAGCCATCATTTATTTAAATGAAAACGAAAGCTTATTGTTAGAGTAACCGCCGTTCCAATGTTTTAGATTCTGTTGTGAAAATCGAAATTTATAAAGATTGTGGTGTTAACGAATTCCTTTCTATAATCAGGGATGCACAACCTGCGGCCCGGGAGCCACATACGGTCCTCTTTCAATGTTTATGCGGCCCGCAGAAGGTACAGGCCAAATCCCTTCTTTCAAGTGTGTCTATGGATTACTCGCTCCGTTGCAATATGGGTCCTGTTACTTTAATGCAATGAAACAAACCCTTTCTATGTTAAGTCTATGAAGAACCTTTTCCACTTGATTGGACGATAAAATTATTACTTACACACCTTTTAAGCTCAGATTGGCGCTTTCTGGCTTGAAAGACTTGGCTTTATCCAATAAAAGTAACCGAGAATCTGACTCCTGGGGAAAATTGCCGCTAAAACCACGCCCCCTTCGACTATACCAATCAAAATGTAGAATGTAAAAAAATGCTAAAAAATCGCTAATTTCACTTATTTTTATGTTATTTGAAGCTATTTAGACGAATAAGCAAGTTTTTCGAAGCATACAATTAAAAATTTCCCGCCAAAATAGAAACTTCCTGATAATACCGGAAATGACGTTCTAACATCACTTATTCTATTTAATTCTTCTAAAATTCTTTATAATACTGTGTATTAGACTTAAAATATTTGATATCTAAACCAGAAAGTATGTTAGATAGAAATAGAGGAACTTCAGCCGCTCCCATTTCTCACGTCAGGGAAAGTCATAAAACAGTTGGGTGCTAATGACTTTGTGAAAGGGAAAAAGTTCTATACTTAGAAACTTCGAACTTGTTTGTGAGAGGAAAAACAACAGATGAAAAGAAAATCTATTCAAGCCATAAACTTCCCGTGATTGCTGTTAAAGTAATTAGACTCCTTGGTTGTACTGTACTGTACTTAACGAATTCTATCTTTTTACGGTGTACTTTGGAACTGGAGATGAGTAAATGTGGAAAATTTAATTCTAGTGGAGTTAGCATGTTTGTTCTATGGCAGTGTTTCTCAACGGGGGCGATATCGCCCCCATGTGGACGTTTTTCCATGTTGAGGGGGCGAAAACAATTTTCTGGGCGATATAGTAAAACATTATATTAAGAACAATTAGATATTTTATTCGTTATATCGTACAATAATTAAACAAACAACATTATACTAGTCACTAGTCTATTCAATGCAGTGCGAATTTGGCGTTAGTCTTGGTCCTCGGAATTTTGAAGTGAAGGGGGCGATAATAGGTAACGGTTTTATTGAAGGGGGCGACGATTCGTTAGAGGTTGAGAAACACTGTTCTATGAGGTTGCAGATCTTCCTCCGCCCATCTGTTCATAACAATAGTTTCAATTTTATTTTTCGTTACATCCACTCACGTTGTTTTGGATGAATTAATAATCAATCAACTATTATGTTTTGTCAGTTTTTATGTTCCATTTAAAGTATACTGTACAATCTGTTTGCTACTTAAAATTAAATTAAGATTTTTACAGCTGAAAAGATGATTATAATACTGTATATATATTTTAATTAAATATCCTTTTTGGTATATTCACTTTACTAACACAAATTTGATGTTTTTGTAAGCCACTACACGACCGCATTAAAGTAGTATAGCAGCCAGCGCATTTAAAGTATGATATAAAGGAAACATTTTCCAACTGATTATCCGAGTCTTTTACCACAAAGGTTCAGTCATTCACCGACATTCGTTCCTTCACGAAGTTAAATAATAGTCTTAAGCTCAGGCATTTACAACCTTCATCAAACAAAATCATTACACCTTTTATTTTATTGATTTACATTCTAGATTACATTTGAATTTAACACTGTCTCTTACATTTTTTCTTGTTCACAAAATTTGTCAAGAAAAAGAAATCAATCTCATCTTACAACTTCAAGTCTACTTACTCTAAAGCAATTCCCATATAATACATCGGCGTAATATAACATAAATAAAACTAAGCATTGATACTGTATAATGCAATATTCCGAATAATACAAGTTTATTCTGTATGTAAATGTTGATAATCTAATTTCAAAAGCAATATTTCTCTATATTGTTAACAAACTTTCGGTCCCATATAAATAGTTCTAGTTAATTCTGATTGAAAAGTAATGGAAAACATTGGAAAAAATTTCTAGGAGTTGCAACCCAACTCCAACAGAAAATTCTTTTGAACACACGAAAATCATTCTGTTTCATTTACAACACAATAGTAATTTAATAAATAATCAAAACGAACTTCTTTTTGTAAAATAGTTTACAATTATTTTCGACATTCAACAATCACAATTTTACACCAATTATTTCAGGTTAATACAGAATCAAATACTTTTCCATACACATGTATTTTATACAGGCATTTTATGTAGATTTAATTCTCTGTACAATATGCAATAAGGAATGAGAAATTAAGATAATTTTCTACAGTTAAGGAATGTGAAAGATTAAAATACTTGCTTTATTCCTCACAACTCAAATTAGACTTATTTGATCAGGGAATTGCTATGTAACTATCAATTTTGGCGTGGTGACGTTGAGCGACACATTCCGCTATCCACACTATGTTCCTGCATTCTTGTTCCTTTAACTTCAGATAGGCAAAGAACACTCCAAAATGAAACTGACGTAAAAAGGCGTTGACATTTAGCTGCACCTGAACAAAACGGAAATAAATTATACAAGTGTTTTTATTTCATAAATAAGTAATACTTGAGAGCTTAGAAATTAATTAACAGCAGTTCGTAAAACTGATAAAGTATTTCAAATACAGTAGAGCCTCGAAAACTCGGCACTTGATAACCCGGCACTCCGGATAACTCGGCCACACCCTGGCAGGGCAAAAAAATCCTTAGTTAATTAATTTTCATTATAGACAGCTTTATGCCTCATAAAGTATTTTTCTGGGGTCTGTCTTATCAGGTAAATTACTGTACACAGTGTATTCATTAATTTTCATTTTCATGTAGTAAAGGCTCTATGCCTTCATAAAGGTCGTACTTTTCCTTTGTTTAAGGGTATTTGGGCAGTTTATTCTCTGTTGTATTCTCAAGTAAACAGTACATACAAATACAGTACAGTATTTTCTAAGGAAACACTCATACTTAGTTTTTTTAACCCCATTCCCGATAACCCGGCATTTTCACAAACTCAGCCACCCTTCGGTCCACATTAGGCCAAGTTTTCGAGGCTCTACTGTATAATTACAGTATAAAAATCTTTTGTCAATTATTACCCATTAAATTTGTGTTTAAACAGCTGAAATGTCTTCATAAATAAACATGCTTATATTATAAATAAATTTTTGCCATTTGATGTATATTACTTAACACTTGTCTGGCATACAAAGACAAAATGTTTACAACTGGCCATATATTTACACTATTAAGTTTTTATGTTATTTTACATACAAAAAGTTGAAAGAGAGCACTATTTATTTTCATTGTTCCTCATTAAAGTTTTAATTCAAAAAGTTTCTTGACTAAGGCATTTGATATAAATGAGGACAGTTTCTCTTGATGTGGACTAAATACATAATTTAAATATAAATTAAATTCATGTCAGGCCAATTGACATTTACATAATAAATTGCTTTGAACACTTATTTTAATACTTATTAAACTGTATCTTTAAGAGCTTATCTATCTTCCACCAAACACATTTATCACACTGTTCAACTCAGTAAAACATAGCTCAAATTTGTAAAACCCAGTCTCTATACAAAATTTAATATGATTCTTATTTGTATTAAGCTTAAGCAAGCATTCAAGCAGCATCTTTTACAATATTCCATCTAGCAACTAGAGCAAATTAAATAGATATTTTCAACAATTTTTTTAACAAAATACAAAAACAGATAAAAACTTTCCATTAAAAAAATTGGTTATAAATCAATATTACTGACACAGCTCTTTGTACAACAATTATGAAACATTTCCATTGCATCAATTGTGCTTTATCACTTTTTTTATGGGAGGAAAAACTGAATTGTAATGAAAAATGTTTTTAGCAGTTTTTTAGTTACTAAATAAAATTTTCTAGTCATCAATAATATCCTTTCATTTTTAAAAACAATTGTTATAAAACTGATTGGTTTAAATTAAGCATTCAAATTCTATTCTAAAACATAAGTTTCCTATGGTAAAATTGAAAACATTTCAAAAATCACTTTTCATTTTTGTTTATTGTTTAAATGTCAACATTTTGATAATAAACAAGAAGCCAGCTGTAAATAATAATTTAATATTTAACTAACTTCTGGCATTTTTAACAAAACACTCCACTTCCCACAGACATCAGATAAAACTTCACAAGACATATCCCAATTAATTAGTCAATTAGATGAATTTTTAGATAAACTTTTTAAACAACACTTACCTCATGTTCAAAAAATTTATCTTCTAACGTCTTTTCTCCTGGATTATTTCCTGCTCCTTCAAACAGTTGTTTGTAAAACTATTTAAAAAAATTATAAGTGTCTTCTTATCATTAAATAAATAATAAAATTGTAATTTGTTTTACATTGCAATTCAATAGAACTTATGTAAAACTCATAAAATGTTCTTATTAAAACAATAAGCTAAACTGCCAAGATTTAAAATCTAACTTTAATCTGCATTGTTTAGAACTACAAACAAATTAAATATTTTTTAAAATTAAGATTTAATATTTAATATATATTTAATGAAGGACTATTGCACTTATAACTAGATTTCAAAATAATGGAATATGCCTCTTTTTCAATTGCTATCACAGCATTTAAGTTGAAAATAATAATGTTACAAATGTGAAACAATGTAATAAATAAAATATCACATTCTATCATGTTTCATTTTTATTTCTTCCAAAACTCAGCTTATTACTGTGTATAGTTAATCAATGCACCTTATATACAAGTTACCATACCCAATTTCATTTCTTATCTTCACCCTGTCCAGTGATATTAAGCAAAATAGACATCAACACACACACACATACATACATATCCATGGAATTTTTTTTTTGAATTTTTTGAATTCAGTGGTCTCGAAACCCAAAGATTTGCAAAAAACTCAAAGGGTCAAATTTGACATGATTCCATTACTCTCCCTTGTTATATATACATAACAGTCAAGAAAGTAAAACCAAGAACCACCGGTCTACATATTAAAACAAACTGCTTACTGCATAATAATCGGCAACAGCTTTTACTTGATCATAATCATCAGCTTTTGCTAATTCTGCCAATCCATCGGGATATAATTTTCCACAGTGAGGATATAATTTAGCTCTGTCTTCCTTAGTCAATTCTGTACCAAAAGAATTTATAGTAATCACAAATGCTCTTCTGTCCGCTTCAAACTAAAAATACACAGATTCAATCATAAATATCGAAAACAAATCATATAATTATTTAAATACATTGATAAGTTCACTTTAATCAAAAATGTTACCAACTTATTATATTATACTTTTGTTGACTACAAATGTTCTTGTGAACTAGGACTTGTTACACTGAGGAAAGAGAAACACACAGTTTCAAATTAAAACGTATTTAATATAACAGGACTACATTACATTAAATACGTTTTAATTTGAAACTGTGTGTTTCTCTTCCCTCAATATAACAAGTCCTAGTTCACAAGAACATCCAAAGTCAACAAAAGTATAATATAAGTAATTAAGGACAAGAAGAATGTATCAACATGTTACCAAAATAGTAGTCAAACTTTGATCTATTCTGTTTTTTCAAAAACAATAAAAATTGACAAATTTATAACATATTTAGATGTAAGTAATTTGGAAATAGTAAAACTTCCATATTCAATGTTAGTAACGAAATTGTGATACAGTAGAGTCCTGCTGGTCCGAATGTGTTTCAGTCAATCAAGAAAAAATTCTTTTAATTCGCAAAATATACATTTTTTTTTGTATTTTCCAGTTGAATTTAAATGGTATTAATGGTACAAAAAGATTTAGAATTCCACAACAAAAAAAATTGAATTTTGTTGTAGTACTGTATTAATACTGTATAAAATTAATAAATCATTGTTTGACATAGCTTATTAAAACAGCAGATCTATACTATACTTACACATAAAAACAGAAACAAAAGTCATTGATGGTATTGGATCTATATAAACTTGACCTGTTTTACTGTTTGCTTCTGCATTATTTTAATTATTTGGCTAATCTAAAAATCTGCTAATCTGAACAAGGCTCAGTCCAAATTAGTTCGGACTAGAGGGACTCTACTGTAATTATGAGAAAGAAAAGAGAATTAGAACATAGTAGAAAAATGTTTCTGGCATACTAAGGCTAAGTATGAACTATACTGGCCACTTCATTCCAATTGCATTACTACATAAATAATGTCATAGCTGCACTTATTCATACAGCCTACATATTACCATCATTGCAACATTTGGTACAAAAAGAGTTACAATTTATTAATACGGCAATGCATAGGGCATGATACACTTATTTCAAGTGCATTCACACTCAAATGCAAAGATTCCTTTTCCTACCATCAAAATTAGAAATAATCAAAACAAATCACATTTATAGAAGCCCTTCCATCCTGTAGCTTGGGTCTGTATCCTTACAAATCACCAATTTCAAAAATTGGGATTTAACCTTCTTATAAAACCACAGCTACCTTAATGCAGAATACTATGTAATGACAGGAACAAATTAACTAACAACGTTAGAAAAATCAGGTATATATGTAATTCCCTTACAACACCAAAGCAATGATGAAGTAATATATAATTGGGCCACAAGTAGTAAATTGCCAAGATGAATATTGGAACATCAAGATGACATTTGTAAAAATAAAATTTCCACAGAAGATCTAGAAGGATTCTCAATCATTACTTTACATCTCTATGGAATGAATCTTCCATCCTTGTAAAATGTGAGAACTGCAACTGTTTATTCATCTGGAAAACATTGTTTATTGAAAAATTGGAGCTGTGTAATAGGCCCACTCTAGAGCTTCCAAAAATACAGGTATTTAATAATTTAAAAAATTAAAAATCACAGCTTGCAAAATAATTTTCAATTATAGTTTGACCATTAATTAAATGTGTAAGATTAATTTTGAAAGTAAATCATGTAAATTTAAAGACATGTTCAGATAAAAAAGGAGTGAGTGTGACAGACGAATTCTGCAGTTTTGCAGATTCCCTGACCTTTTCTGCTAAAAATCTTATTTCATGACTTTCTATGATTTTCCCTGACTTTCCAGGTCTGTATGGACCCTGCTATTACTTGTATTATTAACACATTTTTTCATAGTATTTTGATGCTCTGGCACTAAAAGAATATTGGTCTTGGTCTCCGTATGTTTTTTTTATTTTCTCATATATTGTTTTAATAAATACAAAAAGTTAATTTATATAATCAGTTTTGTTTTTATTATTATTCATTTTTTGTCTATTTATTGCCCATTTTTCTATAAGTTTCTTTGAATAATTAGTTAATAAATATTTTTTAAGCACATCATCTATCTCTGCATTTCTATCATTGACCTTCGTTCTATTATAAATTTTTTGGATCACCATTTTAAAAATTTTATGTATATTGGTATTGCTAATTTATAATATAATGTTATTGGTATTTGACAATGTTTGGCATATTTTTTAATTACAAATTTATCCATTTCTCTTTCTATTACCAAATGCAAATAATTTATCTTTTGATATTGTTTGACTTCCATCTGAAATTTTAAAGGGTCTAGAATTGTGTGTGATTTTCCAGCCTTTGTGGTCAGTAAGTGGATTGCTGCTGAAGCATATTGACTGGGCTGGTATGTGTTGTCCATTGTGTGAGTAAGATGATAGATGTGTTTGTGATGCATACTTAGGCAAGTGCTGCATTTATCATTGATGGCCAAGGGTAATTTAGCAGATTTTTCAAATGTGAGAGACTCTGTCTAACTTACAAATGTGATCATTGTTAATCAGTTTTGTTTTCTCCACAGAAATGAGTATGCTTATATACCTAAAGCCAAGTATTTATAGATCAGCTACCCAACATAAAGAACAGATCCTATTTGTCCAGTCACCCTAGATCAGATGTTGCTTATGACTCATTCTTTGCATCATTTCTCTTCAAAGACCTTATTGGAATCAGTGGCCCTACTGGAAAATTATGTTCCTGCTGGGTTCCTGCTCTATTGTTCATTGAAACTACTGTTGTTGTTATTATTATTGTCTTTTACTCTATCATTCTCAGTTTTTGTCTGGTATCAATCTCACAGGCAGGCTCAGGAGCCAAGCCTGTAAGACCAATACGAAACCCTAAACATTTTGGAGAAATTTTCTGACAATATAACACATTGCTAGAATGGTAACTTTTTGTAAGGTTATATATATATAAATTTCAGTGAATGTCTATTGTCTTCAGGCTTTTATGCCACAAATGTGTGATAACTCCTGTGGCAGACAGAACTGTTGTGATGGTATGGACTTTATTCATTTTCCAGAAGAACTTTACTTCTTGACAAAGTTCAGTATATTTATTTTTTCTATACAGTTATTTTGTAGATTATGTGTATTTGATATAGCAATGTCAATAATGTAGGTAGTTTTATGCACTTTGTCAATGAAGATAATATCCAGTCTATTGTGAGGGATCATTTTATCTCTTATAACTGCTCTGTCAAAATATAGTGTGCTGTGTTCTCAAGAATAGTTTGTAGAATATACATATAATATGGTATTTCTGTGGTGGTTAGTAAATATTTCTTTTCTACATACTGGTGAATTATTTTAGCTACCTGATTATGCTGTATAACTAGTCTGTGCCAGGCTTTTACAGCTGCCATGATATGTTGTATAGTTTCCTGTACAGCATTATATTATTATTATTATTATTATTTAGAAAATTAAAAGTGGATTAGTTAGTTATTTATGGTGAGTACTCAAGTTAATATGATTACTTAAAAATCAAGGCAATATTAAAAACACATGACGCAAACAATTCAAAATTATTGACAACAATTTATTGATATCTCATCCTGGCTTTGAGCTTCGGATAAAGTTCAAAGCCAGAATAAAATATAAGCAAATTTTTAAAATAAATTCACCATTATATATAATACATACCGCTAAAATTTCACACATAACTTCTGCAGTAGTTCCTCCTAATTCTTGACAAAATTTGTAAAATGATTCCAGATATGACTGTAAATAAAACAAATTTATTTTAAGCTACAAATCAATCAATCACCAGATTAAATGAGTTATATTACTGCTACTATTAATAATTAAATAGTAAGTAATTTGTCCTAGAGGTACGTATTAAACATCATATGTTTATTAATATTTAGTAATTAATTTATAAGGTTCTGGAATGAAAAAATTGTCCTGGATAGGACTTGAACCCACAACTACCACTTACTGTGTGGATGCATTGTTAGTTTTGCTAACTGGTCTACCATATGATTCTCACCTCCAGACATATTTTGTTTGAATACTATGGCACTCAGCCAGCAATCGCATGGTGTAAATATACATATATAAATTTGTAATTGTTTGGCTTATTATTATTATCAGGATTTGATATGTTTATAAATGTATATATAAACCATGCTGGGATAAAGCAACAGCCAACTGATTGCCATAGTAGATAATTATAGGCCATGGACATTGAAGTCATCTCCAGTTGGCACCGTAAGTAACAGAGGATGGTTGTATCTAAAGTAAATATGTCTGGAGGTGGAGATCAAATGGTAGTCTGGATAGCATAACTGGCAACATATATGCATAATAAATGGCAGCTGTTGATTCGAATCCTGCTCCAGGCAGATTCTTTTCTTACAGAATATTTAAAATTATTTAATAAATATTGATTTAATTATAATTATTAAATTTAATAAGAGATGGTGCCTAATGCCTAGTACCAAATTATTCAGTATTTAATTATTAATACTAGAAGTAAAAAGTAAAACAATTAATCCTGCAATTGTTTGGCAGTGAATAATTAAATGAAATGTTGCATGTTTAAAGAAACCAATTCTGAATTTATCAGAATTGCTATTTTTGACCTATCTAGGGTCATCTGTAAATCAAAAACAAACAGAATATATAACTAAAAAACTTACACATATGCTCTTAAACTTTTAAACTATAGAATTTTTCAGAACTTTAAAAAATTAAAAAAAAAATGAAATACAATATATTAAAACTTCTTGTCTCAATTAATTTTCACTAAAATATATCTCATATATTATATAGTGAAAATATTGAGACTAAACACACTGTTACTCAAGACATCAAAATGTCATTTCTATACTTAAAATGTACCTTACTTCTGGTATGCACTTCAGTCCACAAGACCCTCTTCAGCCATACATGAATAAATAGGTATCAGCTTTTAATAAGCTGATTTATGCTTATTAAAAATATAATAGATGTAATAGATGATTAAAACCAGATACATATTTATTTGTTTATGTCTGAAGATGGTCTTATGGACTGAAATGCATACCAAAAATAAAGATACATTCTAACTATAGAAGTGACATTTTGATGTCCTGAGTAACAGCATGTTAAGTCTTGATATCTTCACAACAGCGTATAAAATACCTTCAGTGAAAAATAAAACACTGTTGAACACAATTGTAACATGCATGATTAAGATTTCAAATTTATTGCAAGCAAATCTTCCTTCTGACTTTAGTTAACTATTTACATGGAAATATGGCTTGGAAAGATTTTTCAGTTGAAGAGTAAAAGTGCTTCAATTTGAACCATATAATGTCACAAATTTTATAGGTGCCAGTGCAGAGTTAAAAATGCCTACATAGCTATATCAGAACTCCCCCTGACAGTATAACTAATTATCTTACTAGTGAGGAAGTCACCTGGAAATTCATACCACTCGGATCACAAGTTTCAGAAGTCTCTAGGAAGTGGAAATAAAGTCTTTTAGACATCATAAAAAGAACTGTGGCAATTTGCAACTAACTATAGAACAGTTTATAACTATCACCATACAAAGAGGTGTTTTAAACAGCAGACTGCTGTTATCCGTCTTCCAATCCTAGTGATATTGAAGTACTAACTCGTCACTTTCTCATTGGAAGACCTCTGAGCAGCCTACCTAAACCAGATTTCACTTATAAACCCAATGATTATTTGTCTAAATGGCAAGTGTTAACTAAATTTGTTCAAGTTATATGGCATAAGTGAAAATTAGATTATTTAAACAACTTACAAGTCCGACATAAGTGGCAATTTGATAAAGACAATGTAACACCAAATTTTTTTTATTTTACAGGAAATTGGAAAAGTCTCATGACTGTTGATTTCCAACTCCTAACAATAACTACCCACAATGTACGATAAAACAACCAAGAAAAATTAAAATTAACATATATAACAATATAAAAAAACTAAAATGAGATTTATAAAATGTAGTTAAACATTAAAATTATTTTACATAAGAGAAGAACAAATAATTGATATTAAATAATATAAAATTATAAAATCAATAATGTTAAAATTTTATATATTTATATTAATATATATAATGAAAAAATGATAATTTAATGATCTTCTTAAAGGATGAGAATCTACTGCCCAGTAATTGGTCTTTGAATAGAGTACAGGATCATAGGGAAAGATGAGAGATGTCGTGATGAAAAAATCAAGATGTATTGTAGAAAGAGGCATATCAAAGTTATGTTTCATAAAGTTTCATAAATAAAGTTTATCATGATGATCAAACATGTGTCATCCTTTATTTGTGATTGTTAAGTTTTGTCTTTAGTGTTTAAATTCTTTTATTGAAATGTTATTTTAATACGGACTGTATTGTTGGCACTTAGAGTACCACCACATATTTGTAATGGTAAGCAAATAGTCTTAGAACAGTAAAATACATTGCAAAATGACAAATGTTCCACTATTCAGATGCATGCTGAAAATTGATGATACCAACAATAATCCTGATATTCATATGTATACAAAAAAAAATTAACTATTTCATAACAATAATTCTAAATGTTATCAGCTTGTAATTTCCTATGATAATGTAAATACTCTCAATAATTCACATGGTATTTTCTTCTCACTTCTTATAGAAACCATTTCACATAGCTGCTGTAATGTTTCTTTCTTTTTTTATTAATTTATTGTGAAAAATTAAAAGAAAACTTTAAAAATAATGAGGCTTTTTAAAAATAAATATAATCAAATACTGTTCATCATCCCCATATTAAAATAATATTTAAACAAAACAAAAACAAGAGAAACAAGAATATCAATGAAGTAATTTACTGTTTACCTTGTATAGTGTATTTCTAATAACTTCAATATTCACTTCATCCAAATCCTCTTCTGTGATACAGTCACTAAAAAATGGAGCTACAAATTAAAGTTTTTAAAATTAATATATAAAATTGTAATCATTCATCTCACTCTAGAAATGCAATAAATTATTTAAGCCAGTTCATAAAAACCTGTTTACTTTTAAAAATTCCTCCAATCCCAGCATCAGATCAAACTTTGAATAAAAATTAAAACAAAATATTCTTAAATCAAATTTTAAATTTTGAAGTATCTTTAATAAGAAATTTTTAATGAAAATGATTCAACTTTTTGTTCTTTTCAGTAAATAATTTCTAAATGTATTTTATCATGAATTGTTTAGAACAAATATACGCTCAAATATGTATAAAATAAATCAGCATAATTTCAAACTCATCGCAACATTACCTAGACAAGATCTAAATACCCCAGTCCAGATTTTTTGGATATTTTATTTTGTATTTCTTTGATTAACAAAAGTTGCAAAATACCAAATAATTTTTAAAAAAACTAAAAAAACTTTGTGAAATGGTCTTTAGGTCCCTGGGGACTTTCGCCCTGCCCATTTATGTTTCCAGCATTTGATTGTATGCTAGATATATAGACAATGTTCTCTTCATTTAGAAAAAGCATCCCATCATCCAGAATTTTATAGATGACATCGATAACAACCCATACGATCTCAGGCTAGAATTGGAGCAGGATAGTGAGAGGAAAGTGCATTTTCTTGATTACAATAACACTCAGGAGTGGCAGCATATTCATTAACATTTACAGGAAATCATCTTACAATCCTCTGTTCATTCCTTGGAGTTCCCATGACCCTCTCAACTATAGATTAGCAGCATTCTGGGTGCTGATCAGGAGAGCACATATGCACTGTACAAATACTTGGGATAGAAACAAGGAATTGGATTACATCATTTCCATTGGTAGGTGATTTGGTTACAAACATAGGACCATTAAAACCATCATTGATTCATTCCAACAGGACATCCCAGGAATTCTTCAGGAACTGAACATTTTATTGTAGACTATGCCACTCTCCTATGGAACATCTTTAACCTGTCCTGCGTTGTTCCTGAAAATTTTCGTGTTGACCTCATTGACCTGCGTGGATGATCCCAAATATTTTTGTGTCTGCATTGGAACATTTTTGATGCATCACAATTTTTACATTAAAACAAACTTTTAAAATATAATTTTTTTTTGTTTTTATATTTTTCAATATATTTATTTTCTTTGTGCAACATAAGAAAATAATTTTTAATGACATAGTAAACACAATTATTATTTTAAACAAAATTGTTAGGCTTAACATCGACGAAAATTCAACATGGCGCCACAGGCAACAGAGAAGAATTTCAACATCAAATAGGTTAAGGAGATAGGCAATGCCATTAGTCACAGTATCACCTTCAGAAGAAACTACATTTTATGGGTTATTAAGAAATGACAAGGATCCCCCAGACATGGCACTGGTACCAGGTGTTTGCAACATACCTGTAACAGACAGCAGACTTGCGCATGATCTTTTACTACATTGGGTCCACTCTGATATCCATCCAACAATGATTAAAAGAGCATAAGGATGATGTTAGGAAGCCTTAGCAGCATATGCCATCACTAATCAAGATTCTATGAGCGTTAAATGGGACCAAGCCAAATTGTCAAAAAAATAGGGAATCACTGACATATTCTCTATACAGAAGCTTTACATATTTATAAAGCAACATGTATGAGACATTCTATCAATTATAAGAATATTAACTGTCTGTCAACAGCTTGGAGGTCTTTTTTGTACACCCTCTACATAAATAATGCAAAGTCTCACAATAGCTATGGATTATACTATTTACATCATTTGATTCAACAGATGGGTTCATTATTTAAAGATATTTTGTATTTATTTAATTTTGATGTCTCTTTGTATTTTAGAATATTTTCAAACTTATACATTTGTTTTACAATATGTTAACATTCAGATGTTAAATTTGAATTTGTATTCTAGAATATTTTTTCCAAACTACTGTTGTGGCATTCCATTACATATTCTATTGGAAGGAGAACGTTAAAAACATCCAAAAATGTTATAGTTATAAAATTTTTTTTCTGTTTCTTCAAGGTTATTTTTGTGAGAGTTTATCTTACAAGTTAGTATGACCATCAGTAACTTATGACATTTCTAATTTTGTACTGGCTGATATCAAAATAAAATCTACAATTTTTGTTATGTCAAAAGCATTTTTTTGCATTACTTGTTTTGCTACAATTTTAAAGACAACCTTAGCAAAAATCTCCTGAAGAATTCACTCCTAGCAACACTAGTTATCAAATGTTAAAGAAAGCATTCTCGAGTACAATAAAACAATTACTTCGTCATTTTACCCACTTCTAACCAAGAAAGGAGTTTTTGTTTACAGAATAATAAGACAATTAGCAATTTTTTGACCTGCACAGTGAAGGATGCAGTCAGGTCTATTACTTTCCTGGAAGAGAATGAACAATGCTCTACTACTCTGGTCATAAAAGATAATACCTTCTTGTGAAATTTAATACAAACCAAATGTCAATTCATGTAAATTGAGATAATTTGTAGCAAGTTGAAATTTGGTATGTTTATTTTTTCCATTTAATAATCAAATTACAAAAAAAAAGATTCACTTTTGTCATTCCACAACTATTTCATATTGTTAGATGTAGACAAAAGGTAGAAATTAAAGATATAATCATAGTTTTTGATTCAATATTCATTTTTATACAATTTTAGTAAAATCAGTGGTATCTGTGAAATGCCATGCCAGTAAACACATTTGTTGATAGAATGCATGCAGTGAAGAATTAAATGTTGATATAATTTATAATAATTTCCAGTCAGACAAGTAGTAGTTTGCCTAAGACACAGGAGAAGTAAGTTAAGATTGCAATTATTTCAAATTACTTAATTAAATGTAATAATATTGAATTCCAAACTATTTTTTATTATATAAACATTCCAGCTAACTAGAATGTTGTTTTATATAATAAAACAACATTCCATTTAATAATATAATAAAACAACATTATTTTTTATATAATAAAAAATAACAGTTGTTTTATAAATGCAAAATAACAACATATGAATTCTCTACTTATGGATTTTATTTGCTATATTTCCAAAAACACTTAAGTTGAAAATAGAAACAGCTACTCCGTAAAACAAACTTTAATTAAATAATATACTGTGTATATTCAAGCAACTCTAAACTTGAATTCTACACAGGTCTCAACTCTTTCAATAGGTAAAAAGAATAAACAAAGTAAATATTGATATCATGTTGAAATCCTGTATACAGGACAGTAGGCATAAATGAGTTAATTAACATGACAATCAGACGAAAGAGAAGTTGAAAATGGTAGTATCAAATGATCAGAAGAGAGAGTCACAAAAAACAGTGAAGTCGGGATGCAATATCATAGAATTCACAACATTTTGAAATTGAGATAGAATATAAACATGAGTAACATCTGTCAATAGTTTCAAAAAATAGTTGAATAGTTAGAACCAGGAGCATACATTAAACCATATGCCATGGTGTGTATAAGATAATCCAAAGCTGAAATGTTGTCCTAGCAAATTAATGACGTAACAGGTGCTTCTTCTTTATTCAAGTTTTGCTTTTGTAAAATCCAATTTAATTTCTTCAGAAATTTTTTGACAGGTTTCATATAACTTTCCTATTCACTTCACATAGTAAACCTTGATCTTGTTCATATACAGTAGACCCCCCTATAAAAGGGGTTCATATAGTTCGAATTCCTATATAATGGCAAAAAAATTGTGACTGTATTCGTATAAACATGCTAAAAGAGACTCCTATAATTCAGTAAAACATCATCGCCAACTCGTGTTGCGACAGGATTGGTCGAATCTAGACCAATAGCAGATATTGCACAAACCATTGAGTTTAAATGAGCAGCGGACCTATTAAAAACCATTTATTATTTAACGGCCATAAAAATTATATTTATATTAATGATGTCTCCAAAGTTCAGCAAAGTTTTTACAGAAAAATAATTTATCAGGAAGCACGCGAGCGCCATTCGATGCACCTCTCCACAACGAAAACAAGCTTAAGCAATGGCGTCATTGAACGATGCACACTCAGTAAGTAATCCTACAATTTTTTGTTTATAGCGTAGTTTATATGGATTATTCCCAAAAAATTATATGTATTTTGGAAATGTTGAGTCGAATTAGTCTAGAATTGATTAATTTTATGGAAGAAAACCTTTCAAACAGCCGTAGTCTGTAAACTGCATACGTGCCAGGCTGTGATTGGCTCATGTATTTAATAAGGACTCGTAGAAAATGGATTTCATAAAAACTGGAACATATCTACCGTGTTATGGGGGGGGTCAACTGTATATCATTTTCCAGCTTAATCACCAGTATGTTTGAGAAAGCCAATTTGAACATCAAGAAAGGTTATGTATTCTTAACTCAGAAAATTAATTAAGCTGGAAAATGATATACACGAACAAGACCCAGGTTTACTATATGAAGTAAATAGGAAAGTTAAAATTTTCCAAGAAATACTAGCATAAAATCTGTTAAAAAATTTCCGAAAAAATTAAATTGGATATTTCAAATGCAAAAACTGAATAAAGAAGAAGGACCTGTTATGCCATTAATTTAACGGGACAACATTTCACCTCCGGATTACCTTGTGTGCACCATGGCATATGGTCCCATGTATGCATCTGGTACCAAGTCACATCCAGAGCATGTAATGCTTAAGTTAAATAGTTAAAGAAAGAAAAGAGATAGAGAGATAAAGAGAATAAATAGAGATTATATCAGGAAACAAGGCATTAAATGCAAACATTGAGAATATTTCATTGTATAGGAAAACTGTTAAAATGTAAAATGAAGGGCATAATTTCACAAAACAGTGCTCACTATTATGATCTTCATTTTAGCAAAGAATGACAATACGTGAATGAATTCAATTTTTGCTGCAATTCTGGAAAAATTCTTAAATTTTTCATGTCATTCCACAACTGCTTAAGAATTTGTTCAATAAAACTTATGCTTGAACTGCAAATGTTTAGTAGTATATAAAAAATTAAACATTTTAGCAAATATTTACAGAAGCAAAACTCAATACAAGAAGGATAGAAACCTTTCATTTTGGTGTGCACAAGACAGATTCTCATTGCATTAGTCTAGCAGCTCTATCACAAAATGTTCAAGTAAATTATGACAATATTAGTAAAAGTGGAGATAGTAAAACACAAAAAACAAAAATATTCCAAAAAATAAGAAACTCCAATAAAAAGTTCAAAAAATTGAAACAAGAGTTTAGTGCTTTCAACTTATCCACTGAGGGAAGAAAGGCAATCTCAAGTACAGGTATACCTTGCCTTACGTCGGTAATTGGTTCCAGGAAAATGACGTAAGTCGAATTTACTTGTCTCAGAATCTACTTGCCACTAACAAGGGAACTGTCGGAGTGGCATCTAATAAATTTTAATAAAATTTAGTTAATAGTTATGTTAAAAGTATACAAACTCTATATTAAATTTGTAGTATTCACTAAAAGAGTTAATCAGAGTTAATAGCAATCAAATGTCGTACTATTTTATATGCGGATTTTTAAAAGTGAAAGGGTCGCGGAGGAAGACGGCGATATTACATTTAGAATAAATTCTGGAATTTTCGAAAATGGGAGNATCTATTTTAAGCTTACAAACAAATAAATTTTAGTTTTTAATATAGTACAGAAAAAAGTAATTTAAATTTACGAATGCATGTACTGTAAATACATCATGTACTTGTAAATGTATATATTTTAATATGATTTTATGTGCTTTAAACGTTTTTCTAGTGATATTACGTCTTCAATATTTGTAGCGGACAGACGTAAAGTCGAATAAAATGATTTAAACTTGATTTTTATTTTTCCATATACTTTCTTGACAAACGACGTATAATCGGGAACGACGTAACTTGAAACGACGTAAGTCGAGGTATGCCTGTACTGTACCTTGGGTTAAGTATTTGATCCTGACAATGGTTAAGTTGGCTAAACCAAAAGTACTTGAGTGATGAAGTTTTTTATGTCTTAAAAGGTATTTTAATAATATTCATTTTATCATCCTATCCTCATTCTCTTAGGAAAACCCATAATATATACTAAAAACATCTTGGAAAATCTATGGAAACACAAATTAAACTCCAATGTATAAGTAAAAGTCCAATAAATAGTTTTAAGTTTTATTGTTGTAACATTAACATTTTCTTCTTCAAATTCATCTTAAATTTGTTATGTAGATAAATTATAAAAAAAAGTTCAAAAATGCTTAGTATTAAAATTACATTTCTAGAATAAGCAGTTTTTACTTTGTTAAATGTAACATTACTAAAATATTTTTACTTAAATTTTCTCTTACCTAGAGGTGTATCAACTAAAATAGCATTATAAAGTTCTGCTTGAGTAGAAGGAATATGTGCTGCAGCCATTTGTTCAAAGCTACCCAATGGATGACATTTTGGAATAAGTTCGGTGATGGGACGTTGATGCAATGTTCCCGTGATAAGTAAAATGATATTATCAATCATGTAACTGTACCTAAAGAATTAATAATGTAAAATTTCAATAAAAACATACAACATAAAAAAATAATAAATTCTTTGTGTTTAACAAATATAAAAACTCCAGATATCATTAATCCAATATTTTGTAAATTAAGATATTTCTTCTAAATTAGAGCAACTGACAAAGTAAAATATAGAGATTCAGACATTTCATAAATCTAACTACAAATTTATTCAAACTATTACATGAAAAAATCAGATTCACAATTCTTAAATTATGTAACATTTACTAAATTTAACATCCTGTTAATTTTAAAATGTTTTATATTAATTAAATTATCAGTATTTTTTCCACATCCAAGAGTGTATTTTTCAAAAAATGTTTGCTTGTTTATTTCAATTTATATCATATACTTGCTTATTAGTCTCAGAACTACAGAAATACAGAATACAGAAAACTTCTCATACATACTAAACTTTAATTTCACAAAAATATCTATAAAAACAGATAAACTAACTAATTTGTCAATTTTTTAACACATGCATTTGGAAAGCCTACTTTATTATATAATGGATTCTTGGCTTTAATAGACACCCCCTCATCCAAATTAGTCAATTAAATCAAGGTTTTACTGTAATTTTATAAATATGCATATAAAGAATACCATATACTCTACATAGAGTCTACACCATTCTAGGAATTAGCAAATTTAATCATAATTAGCAGATGAGCCTGGCATTGCCTGGGCAAAAAATAAACAACAACAAAGACAGATTATTAGATTATTTCATACTTTTAACCCTTCTATTATATTATATTATAGTATTTGATTTATACAACTACAAACTTATCATATGTAAGGGTTTATCACATCAAGTGACCAATCTAATACATTTTAAAGAAACTGTATATTCACTGTCAAATATCAAAGGGTAATCTGGTCACGAATGAAACTTGCAAAAAACGGACCACAGATCTAAACTCAGCACCTTCAAAAACCCCTTAAAACATATTTTGTACTCATCAGTAACCTTATATTATGTAATTTTCTTATTTGAATGCCACCATACCACTGGTCCAATAGAAAGAAGGGACTGTTGCAGAAGGGGGTCAAAGTAATTTGATCAAAAGTAGTTGTTGACCTCAATAATGGTCAAAGACAACTAATTAATACTGTTCTACTATTAATATTTGAGAAATGATATGTGCTAAACAAGTTGTGGTGGCCTCACTTCTGATCAAAGTTGCTAACATTAACACAAAAGATTTTATATAAAACTTGTTTAAATAAAAAAAAAAAATCTTGTAAAAATGAGAGAATAATTGTCTTTATGTGATAATAAAGTGTTTATATTTTTGCAACAGATTTTATAAACTACGTGGGAAGTATGTTCTCATAAATACCGTGTTTATAGAAAAATTATTGGAATGCAATTTGAAAAAATTATAGATTTATAAATTCAGACTGTCATCTACCTGTCTGTAAATAATCAATTTTACTATTTAGTTCTTTTTTAATCTCAAACTTAATATCTACATTAATTTTATTTACTTCATTAAGTATAAAAGATTCCTCTACTTTATTTTTTTTTATCAAAAACCAAGAACATGTATCCACATATCTTGTTAATAATTTCACACCTTTAATTTCTTTTGTCTTCTAATCTATCTTAATCATAGCTATTTCTGCCAATCTAAAACCCTATTACTGTACCCATATTAATACCATCTTTTTTTCCAAAAAATTTTTTTACCATTTACCAAAAGTAAATATTAACAAATGAAACCTCAATTAAGTTAAATTATTCATAATATCTCATCCAATCAGAATTTGTGACATTTAAAAATACTTACGTTATATAATCTAGAAAAGTCGATAAAGGCTTAACGGCATGATTCCTTATATGATTAAATTCCAATACGAGTTTCTCACGTAATTTTTCATCAATTACCGAGACTGCTAAAGGACTCGCTTCGTTTGCTAAGAAATTCCCATAATCAGTGCTTTGCAGATGAAGTTTCAAATCTAAAATATATAATAATTATAAGCAAGAATTTTAAAATAATACATTATATATAAATAAAAATTTTGAAATTCTCTCAAAAATCACTTAAAAATGCATTTACATTTCTTTATATAAAAAGAATTGAAAGACAAGAGTCATATATCAACAAACACTTAACAAAGGAGGGAAGGCTTTTGCAAAGGGATAGAAGACACGAAAAGACTTCACTTTTGACTCAAGTCAGACTTGGAGTTGAAGCGATGCCTATTCATTTGTTCCCATAGCAACTATTCTTTTAAGATTAATTTTTTTATAATAATTTTTGGTCATATAAAAATACACACATACAGATTTAGTTTTTATATTATTTTTAACAATATTTATCTGTATATATATTAAAAGCAAAATGTTCAGTTGCAGTGACACACAAATAATGTAAAATTAAAAATTAATATGATTTACAATTTGAAAATTTCAAAAAAAACTTTTAAATGGTTTTTAAAAATGTTTTAATTTTCAATTAATTTGATTTTAATTAGTTTTGATTTTATTTTTAATTTTGGTTTCAGTTTTAGTATAAAGGCCATAGTTTTAATTCATTTTTGGTTTATTTAATATTAATTTAAATTTCCATAATTATTTTTAATAATTACCATATTTATTTGCATATAAGAGGAGGTTTTTATTCATTTTTCATTGCTTCAAAAACCTAGAGCATCCTATATGTGCGAGCAAAAGATTCTTTGCCTTTTTGCAATAATTTTTGTGAACCATATGTTTGCATTTTTTACTGGATGATAACCCTCTGGTATTTAAAAACAAAAGTATTTTATCTTGGTTGTTTCAATTGTTCTGGTGTATTGTCAGGAGAAAAGATGAATAGCAATAAAAAAGCAAAGCTTTTGAATTGAATTCAAGATTGAAATTCCAAAACCACATGAGAGCATGATATAAGTTTTAATCCATTCCCATGTGAAAACAGATGATTATTTGGAAATCAGAATTTGGAGAGACTCATAAATATAATCGATGGAGTGGATTAGACTGTTAAGAATTGGCAAAAAAGGTTCTTGTCCAGCTTTACATTAACAAATTATGCTGCCGATTTTACACGATTTTCTTTAAGTTTAAATGCGAATAATTTTTGCAGGACAATGTTTGTATTTACGTGCCTTTGACATTTTATTTGTGATTAAACAAAATAAAATTAATTTGTATTAATAAATCTAATTTTCTTTATTTTGATCTTTAAAGTCACACCTCGTCCTATATGCGAGATCATAAGTGAGTAAATACGGTATTTATTTAATTTTGCCTGCATTTTTTGAACCCTTAATTACAATTTTTTAAAATTAATTGCAACTTTTTTTTTCTTTTGTGACACAACTATAAAAATTATTTTAGTGTTGTTTCACAAAAAAGACAATCAAATTTAAATTTATTATAATTTTTTTTAGTAATTTCATTGATTTTTATTTTAGAAATTTGCCTGCTTTTTAAAAATTTTAATTTTAAGAGAATTAATTAAACTGTTGGGCTACCTAGTACGGACATAAAAATGCCTGATACGTGCACTGCTATATGCACTTAAGTTAATAGTAACTGAAGAAAGCCAACATGATTCCCTTTTCTGGAAACTATTTATGATCAAGGATTTTTGTTTATTATATATAATTTTACATAAACTTTTATCTTAAACAGAAAATATCAAAATTAATTTAATCTTCTAATAAGTTGAAAACATAACATATATATATAGGCCTATATATATATATATATAAACCTTAAACTGGTGTTGCAGATAAGTGAGAGTTCCGTTACAAATGTTTTCAGTCTATTTCTAAGAACTTCAGGCTAACTGATTCAGAAATAGAACTTTTCTGTATAACTCCTACAGGTCTGTTTTAATGATGGTGTGTGTGGACATATGGTTGCCACAATACAGCTCCTTGATGCCAATGCAGAGGAATATGTGCAAGGTGAAGTTGAACAGTAAGTGACCAGTATCATCTGGGCCTTTTGCAGATCATAAAGGATGACAGCAGGACTGAACATGAATTAATGCCCGAGTCACCATGTGTCTTGTATACCAATATTCAATCCAATCCAATCATTACAAAAGATTTGCCATCAACTGATTATAATGTGCCAGGATTATGGGCCTAGACATGTTCTATATGACTGAACTTTTTGTGCAATCTTTTGAACATTTGTTTTTGGACAGGTCAAACTGCTAGACATACTGTACAACCTCACAATTTATGGCATCAACTGTTCTTGAGCCATTTAAATCCTTCCCAAAACTAAAAGGTACATCAAATTTCATGTTGTGTGAATTTAATGTAAAGATATTACTAATGAGAGAAAATTTGTGGTCTACCACGGCAGTGTCAGAACACGACAGAAATCAATTTAAGGAAAAAGATGATGCTCTAGTAAGCCAAAGACTGTGGGATCAAGAAGCTCTCACTATAATTGCTCTAAGTGTTGCTAGCCATGTAAACAAACAAGCATCCATCACTGTGAAATTGCCAGAGAAGCCTAGAAAGTACTGTATCACACAGAAGAACTTTGGATTATTGAGGACTCAACTTTCTCAGCAGCTTTATTCAATCTCATATAAACATGTCAAGATATAATTATATAGATGAACTTCAGAAAATCATGGATATGTTAATCGACTTGGATGATAAATTCAGTGGCAAGGACACTTGTTACTATTCAAAATATCCAATAAATTCAATAGCTTAGTTCAATGTTGATTATGTTCCAGTGATTGTGAAAGGAATTGAAGAAGACTGCAAAAAAATTTATTTTTTGTATATGTATTCTATATTGTATATTTTTTATAATTTTTAAAATATATTTTAATGTGTTATTTTTGAACTTTACATATATGTATTCATCCTGAATATTTTAAATTATATTTTTCAATAAATAGTTTGTTTTTATTGCTCACATTTTATCTTGTCTGTTCCATTAAAATTTGCTTTTTTAGGATAGCTGCTTAAATGAATTGGGAAAAATTAGTCAGGTCCCAACGTGTTGAGTGTATTTAGAACAAATTTATGGATTGTGTGTGCAGAGTAATGACTGTCTTAATTACTTTCTCAATGACTATCAATTAACCTATCAGGGATTTTGAGAGTGGAATGATTCGTGCTTACAAAAGACATAGGGTCACACTTACCATCAAACCTTAGCTGTTGGTGCTGCAGAATTCTATACAATGATAAGAATCTTTTAGGAAAATTATGAAATTTACATTGTCCCAACAGCAAGTGCAAACAGAAACAAAGTTCTTTTACATAGGTGCTGCAACTAAAAATTTATTAAATCATTTAAATCAGGGGTGTCCAACCCGCGGCCCGCGGGGCGCATGCGGCCCAAGGCAAGTTCCAATGCGGCCCAATAAACGTGTAAACAAAACCGACAAAATGTTTTAATTTTCAATTAATTTGATTTTAATTAATAATTAATTTTGATTGCATTTAATTGTAGGTTTACTTTTGGTTTTGGTGGAAAGTGGCTACCTAGCATGCTTTAATTCATTGATATCTGCAAAGTTCCAACATTTTTTATTGAGATGAAAAGGGTTCTGTGATAAAAATAAGTTTGGAACCTCTGATCTAGACTAATTATTCTTAACATTTTTGAGCTAGTGACACATACACTAGTTTTGATAGCATATTAAAATATGTTTTTATATATATAATGAAATATGTCATTGAAGATATGCAACTTTTTATGTGAAAAATATAAAAATATAGAATGTAGGAAATAAAAAAAAAAATAAAATAGGAAAAAAAGTAGTTTTAAATGATTTTTTGAAATTTTGTGGCATGTCTATGAGAAATTTCACACTCTAGTTGAGAATCATTGATCCATTCCATAATTATAATTCAATACAGGAAATTGTATTTACTTGTGATAAAGTGATAGTTTTATTAAAAACTTTTTCCTTTCTCATAGTTCTAAGTGTGTTTTTTTTTTTGCTGGCAGTTTATTTTAATTTTTAATTTTCATAAATCAATATAAATTCACTGAAAATAGTTGCAGCTTATTGCATCTATTAAAGTTATCAGTGCTATTGGTTAAAGATTATATAAATTATTTCTATTAATTTTATTTTATTTTATTTTTCTAAATTTTTATACAAACAAATAAGTTTTCTGTTGTTCTAAATTTCTAATATATAAGTAATAAGTGACATATGTCAAACATCTTCAATATATATGCAGTAGGATCCAAAAGTTCTAGGACTGGGTCCACACAGGAATATATATGTATACTGCATNTAAAATCGCCGACCCGGACGGCGGGTGAAGTTTGTTCGAACAGAAGTTCCTGACGCATGCGTATGTCATTTTGCAATGCGAAGAATAATTTGCAGTGCATGCTGGTTCTAAATCAGTTACAGTTAGCGACTAGAGAGACTTGGATAAGAGTAACGCAAGTGACCTAGCTCTATTGGATATTGAAGGTGTATATATATACGAATAAATCGTACAAGCAAAGAAAAAAACAAAAAAACAAAAATAAAAAAAGGTCAACAGGTTGCGCACGATATCCTCGGACGGCGAGTCGATTCGTGGACTATCCGGATGGATGGCAACACTATTGCCATGCTCATTTCAATCGGTCCGAGTCGTAGGTGCACGAAAATATGAAATAAAATGGTTCAAATTCTTACAAGATATTATTATTATTTATTGTCAAATTTTGCCGCCCCCCTAAAAAGTACCGCTCGGAGCGGGCCGCCCCTTTACGCTACGCTACTGCTTGTGGCCCAAAACTCCTTGACTTCTTCCAATGCGGCCCAGAGAAACAAAAAGGTTGGACACCCCTGATTTAAATGAACACCAGGACAAAATTAAAAATAAAATACCCTCCCCTGACCTTGTAAGAAACATATCTATACTATTATTATAAAAAGGTAAAGTTTGTAAGTTTGCATGTAAGGGTAATCTCCGAAACTACTCATCCGATTTCAAAAATTCTTTCACCAATATTTAGAATGGACCTTCAGGGTGGACATAGGCTGTATATTATTCCATTAAACATTCATATAAATGAAAAGATATCATCTAGGATTAAGGCTTTTATGTCCAACACATGGCACTAACTCCAAGAGTACGACGACCTAAGTTTACTTTTCTGTGAGGCATTATGCATTTCTGTGAGGATAAAATAAAGCAGATCATCATCTATCTCTCTATATAAATAAAAATGTAATGTTCATTTGTTCCTACTGATTCCTTTGAAACGTTGACAAAACGTTGCATTCGAATACACGTGTTTTTATATAATATACGTGTCATAATTCCCCCCACTGGGGTGGAGATGGACAGGATTAAGACTTACCGTGAAGAACTCTGCTTCTATTTATACTATTTTATATGAGGTTTTTTGCATTTTAATAGGGTATGTCAAGAGAATGTACAGTAAGAAGAGATTTTTCGAAATTCCCCTAACAGGGAAAGTGTTGTACATTTATAAGAGATGCATTTTGAGCCACAACAACGCGTGGCAGGGTCTGCTAGTTAGAAAATAATTTTACACCATTATAGGCCCATACTTTTATACTTAAGCAATGTTTAGATTGCAGAACCCTGTTCATATGGGAGACATTATACATATCTTTGTTAAAACCCTGCAACTCTTCCACTCTCAAAAATTCTATGTATGATACCTAAAAACAATGTTTGTTTTTGAATCAATGCAATTAAATGTAAAGACTGCCGTAAATAAAGGTAAGCACTTGCACACACATAATCCATGTTGAATTTTAATTACTTTTCAACCCACTATAGCATACCTTGAATTCTGTTTAACAAGTGTGATGTGTTCATGGTTCTCTACTCAAAAGACATCAATCATTAATAAGCATGGATGAGCTGTTTCAGAATGCAGGAAAAAGAAACCAATACTCAAAAAAGTGAATAGAATCTCTTTGTTAAGCATTTGGTTTTTTGTACGATATTAGAGCAATGTTCTACATAAACAATAGTTCAAGCTCTTTTCTTGTAAAACATCAAATGTAAAAGGGAATACTTCAGAATCATAGAATACCATAGAAAATAACTTCAGTTTACCTTCAAAGTGTAACCTTGGAATGTAGTCAGAAGCTAGAAAATGCATAATACATTATTAGCAAGTACTTTGAAACTTTTTTGTTAATTTTTAATTTGTAGTTATTTATGTTTGGGAAAATAATGCATGCTTATCTTTCCTAGAACTGCTTTACTTTCGTATTGACACACTGCAGTATTTCCTATTTCAAGAAATTTCAGTCTCAATTTGAGTTATAGCCCAGGTATTATTAATTAATTACAATGAATAGATGAAGATATTACCTACAATCTCTCTGTACTTGTGCAGTTCTAACTTCTTTTCAGTTACCAACTCAATTATTTTTATTTGGAAAGTGTTCTATTTTCAAAGTTAAAACTGTAACTAGGAAAGTATCAAAATCTTGTTTTTCCAATTCTAATGTGCCATAAAATCTAATGCAGACTCAATTTTTTAAATTTCAAAGGAAGGGAGTCATCTCAATACTGTAATGTGTACCCTATATCAAAAATGCAGGCACAAAAAGTTAATATATTTAAACACATCTTTTGAAGCAAAATGCAATTAACATATCTTTTGAAAAAAATTTAATTTTTATTTTTACAATCCACATGTCTACATTATTCATTTACAACTCTATCATCAGGTACAGAGGATTTGCGGATAACAAACTCGCAGTCAAAATTGCAGTATGATAAATACTTCAACAAGATTATATTTTGGTATGCACAAGTACGAAATTTACCAGAGACACAATATTACACTAAAATATCTGTATACATGTTCTTTGACAAGTAGAAAACTCTCAGTTTAAATACACCTTTACGGGAAATTTGTCTGCCAACATCAGTCACTCAACCAACCACAATTCAAAGACCACCAAATCACTCCAAAACCAAAACCAAAGTAGCAAGAGAGAGGTTTACAGCATCTATATTGGCATTATATCACACACAAATTGCCAAGCAGAGCAAAGAAAAAAGGACACAAAACACAAATGAGGCAGCATTTCAGGCATCCATTAATAGCAGTCTCTCTGCATGCCTATCACCATGGGCACGCACTGCCATTCATAGACATTCTGGAATGAAGACAAAAGAAAAAGACAGTGGCATCCCCTACCTATCGAAGAATAGCGACGGCAGGACGTACGATTTTAAAACACACTTTTTGTTTTTGTTTATTTAAAACACACACTTTTGGAGACAATCATTAAACACGGGATTTCAATGAAAAAATTTAACCATCAAATGGATTGTCTCGTAGACATAGTATTCAAAGTAGCAACAAAAAAACTTGTAACAACACCCACACCACCAAGTGCACCAACAAGCACTATTGCTTCTAGATTTTTATTTGTAAAACTGCAGGACGGACACTGAAGCGAAACAGTCCAAGCAACGGAGGACATTTTCCTCCTCCACAAACTGCCACCACAGATGGCCATTCCTGCCGTCCAACGGCACGCACTGGGAATGCGAGAGTGCATTCCGCAGGAATTTTTAAGCAGACATCACACACATGGAGGGCGAGCAAAAGAAGACACCAGAGTCTACTCCGTGCCCAATTCTAACACGCTGGTAGTTCGAGACCAGAAAAATCCAAAAAGATGCACACTAGGATCGAAAAAACACTGTAATTTACATATTAAAAACGTTTTGATCTAACGTTTAATATCAGTTCTTAAGAGTAGAAGTTCTCTACGTTCTTTCTCCTTTCAATTCACAGTCAAAATTTAGTAATTAACGATCAAAATTTATATTTTACAGTAAATTAAATTGAAAGAAACAATGTATAAAGAATTTACGCATCTTCGACATCGCCATTTTCGTCACGAATATACTTTTTTGCCTGTCAGATAGGCAGAGAGATATCCGCTTACTTCGTACGAACAAAATCAAATTTCTCAAATATTTAAAAAGTAATCGACAGAATTACGCGAGAACGTAATCACTCGGCTGGAAAGGACCGACTCGATGGCGTATTTTCATTAAAGAAATAATAAGAGTAATAAAAGAGGGAGCAAGAATTACGAAACGAAGGTTTTAACACCATTTAAATACGGGCTACACCTTCTCGCTGGGCTTATACGCTGATATCGACCGTACCTATCCAAGAAAATCGCTCACCTTCCAAAGTTTCGCATTGAACCAGATTCATATAATCGGACTGTTTTAAGATTCCGTAACGAAATCCTCGTACCAAACCTTCTAAATAACCATTATCGACGTTGAATAATGCTTCCGACATCTTGACTCCCGATCATATGATCGCCTTCTGCCGGCCTATCTTTGATTTTGCAGTGTTGCCAGAATAAAAATCGTTTTCCCGTAATGACAGCTTTGCAAGAGAAATTATCGAGAAATAAAACTTTTTAATAAAAATTTGTCAGCGGTAAAAAATGCTTTCGTCTTTTAAATAATCCTGGAATAATAAAACAAATTTTCTTAACATTATTTTAAATTTCTATTTTTTATACGATTTTTACCTTCTAAAAATATGCCGTCACTTGTTTATACGTTTTAATGCCGGTAAATATAAATTTTCGTTGCGGTAAAGAACGAGTTGGATTCGAAAATAAGTAATATCGATTACGTAAAACGGTCGCGATAAATTTTCCAGTTTCCAACGAATGTTTAACGAGTATTAATGGGTGGCCGAGCGGTCATGTTGGCAGACTACCGCTCGGGGGATCCGGGATCGAATCCGGACAAGTTGAAACAATCCCCAGGAATTTTTCGGGGGGTGGTCCGTCTGGATATGTCGGCTCCCGTCCCTCGTCCGATTGTAGGCCTGTCCGAATCCATAGTGGGCTTACTAAAAGAGGTCCTCCTAGTACCCACAGGGCGGAAAGAGTTAAAAAAAAATCTCGCACTCGGATTGGTTCCAACAATTCCAGTACCGTTTCTGGAACTGGATTTCTCGCATCTCGTTTTCACTACTAACTCCCCGGTAATTCGTGGCTCCATGCGAGCGGCGGCGCCACGGTCGACGTAACGATTCGTCCGCCAGGCGTCGGCGGATATATATACTAGTTAGCGGCGTTGTCACTGCCACTTCACACGTGAGATTCGTATTAGTTGGGAGAGTGTCGGAATTTAGAGATGGCTGCCAAACCTCCGTTCAAAGTGGGTAAGTAACGGAAATCTCGCGTAAAGAGATGAGAAAGAAAAGCATTCGTCCGCCGAATGCGCTTCCACTCGTTCTTTCGCTTTATAAAGCTGAGTGCAATTGTGAGTTTGGAAAGCGATCTTCCCGCATCCTGGTAATACTTTCCGAAATGCATTTCAAACCCACCGCGAATCTTGTTTAATTAACCCGCCGGGTGAGCGCTGCGCTCACTGGTTTCTTGGAAGCTTTTGTAGCCAAACTCGTCTACATTTCTACCTGGGTAGAAACGATTACGATCGGTAGATTACTACCCGATTGCGTTATCTTGTTGATAATGCAATCGGGTAGTAATAGTCATCGGAACGTTTTCAATGCTGCCTTTGTTTAAGTCGTGTTGGACAAGTTAGCACGGCGCTCATCTGCGACTAATCCTATGTCTTTTTCACATTCGAAGTGATATTGCATATACCTATTATCAGCGGCGGCCTTATCCATTGCGAGGCTCTGGGCGGTTATCCATTGCGAGGCCCTTGTCCTTTGTGCAAAGTATGTGAATTGAAATAGTAGGCACTTATTAATATTAATATATACTGTACTATAAATTAAATTTATTTTATTGTTATAACTAATAGCCAAGGATAAAATAAAAAGTTTTAAATATCAACTTTTTTCTACTTGGTTGTTGCGCGAGGCCCCGGGCGATTGCCCTGCTCGCCACCCCCTAAGGCCGCCACTGCCTATTATTATAAAACGTGATGAAATGTTTCTGAAATAACTTAAAAACGTAGGCTCCGTCCTTGCAGATAATGAGTGAGGATCTTTGTGGAAGTGTTCAGAAAGAAACCAGATCCTTCATAGGCAACATCAGTATCAAGAGAAATGTGTGCATATTGCCCAAAAAAGAATAAGAAAACAGCATCTGAGAGTGTAACATGTAGCCTACTGCATCAATTTGAAAATATCGCATAACAATAATCTGCAAACAATGCAATTTTAAAAATTCAGGCTAAACAGATTTAGAAATTTATAATTAAGTTACACAATAATTTCAGATATTGTATTTCTGTTTTTATTGATCTGATTACATATCAATTTTCTGTTGCTATATTGAAATTACTTTTAATGTATTCTAACTGAAGTAAAATAAAATAAACATTACAACGTGTATTATTCATAACAAAACTTCCTGATCTAAGTAAAATTTCTGAATACAAATCATTAAGAATATGAAAATATATAGGATGAATGTGGTACTTGCCCTTGAGTAAGGATCCAATTTAACCCAACATTCCTTGCAATTCGATTGTGAGGAGTGCATGGTTAATTTGGTTGTGAGTGTGTACGCTTCATGGTAACCTCTCCATATGGTTCTAGCGAGACTGCTGGCTCTTGTTAGGTGATAAGAGTCAGTGTGAATGACACATAGAGCACTGATCTAGGCTTCTTTATATCTGTTCAAATAGATTTTCTCGTCCTAGGTAAGGTTTAGTTTGGAGTAGAATGAAAATTTTGAACCAAGATATGGGTTGTGAGTGGAACAGAGAATATTAAATGGCTGTTAATTCAACAATACCAAATGTTTCTGGAATTGTGAAATCCAAACAGAAACATCTGAGGTGTGAAAATATTGCTGAGTAAAAAATTATGGCAATTTAGATAAAGATCAGATTTTTTTTCTCTGGAGTTTTTCTCTGGTAAAGATGAGCTTGGCTCTTCAAAGCAAAATGTAGAAGATAATGACAAAAAACTTGTGTCTGCCACTTTAATGTGCCAAGTTTGTCTCTGAAGAAAAACTCCCATTGTCTAATTTGTCGTGCTTTTAACCCTGATAAAAAAAAAATTATTGGCTGATGTCCGGATTATGGGTGTTGGCCAATTAAATCAATTTATTAGAATTTATTCTGATTTTTCTCTTTGTATTTATTTTTATTTATACTTTTACTTTATACATGCACTTTGTTTAATCTGTTATTGTTCTGTATTTTAATTTAATTTTTTTCAACATTCTTTTATGCGTAACTGTCGGCACATGTTTAATAAGTCCTATTTTAAAATTTTGTTCTATGTAACATTTCGTAACTTGAAGATGGCCTCTAAAGACAGTTGAAAATGTTTATTCTTATAATAAATTGGTTCATTTTAACTGGATTACAGATGTTAGTTGCTGCTTTTTAATGTAATCTCATCCGGTTTTTCAGTATCTTTCAATTTTCACTTGGAATAATTTCTTACATCTCAATGTTTTTGTTTGAATATAAATGTTTTTTTTTTTTTGTTTTTTTAATAAAAGCTTGAAATTGTTTTTATTCTGAAAGAAATACATATTATTACTTAATGAGTATCAAGATCTTTATATACTTGTTATTAAGATTAAGGCTTATTCACAAAAATTATGGCACACTATTTGGATGCAATCACACAAGGAATAAAGCTGATGATATAAACAGGAACATTCAAACCTTTTTTATTTAAAGTTTAAAAAAAAAAAAAAATTGAAATGTTTCTATTGACACTATAGCAAATTAGACTAGCTCAAATAATGTTGTCCAATGATGAAATTTAGTCTTTCTTTACAATTAATTGCAGTCTTTTTGGAAGTCCTTATAAATTCCAATTTTCTAGGAATTCTGTTTGGTGTTGGTTCATACTGTGATAAAGAAGACATGCTTCCTTTAAGTTTACTTTCATGTCATTATCCTTGGAGTAGGCAGGCAGTGTCATGCAAGAGGTGTTTTATATGTATTCATGTTTTTTGTCTTGAGACTCCTAGCTACAACACCTATGTATTCTGAGTGGTGTAGCCTGTAGTTTTGAACAGGCATACTATAAACACCTGGCATTGCTATTGATAGAGCAGGAAAACATTGCTTGCTGTGAGTTGTTCACTTGCCAAATCAATTTCTGGGACTGCTGGGACACAGAGAAAATTACAGAAAAATGGCAATGATGTGAACTACTTTAAGTGAAATTTATTTTTGAACTTATTTAAGGAGAACAGTTTAATGAAAAAGAAATATTTTGAAAAGAGAGAGGGAAGATGATTTTATAATTTCTGTAGGAGTTACAAATAATGAAATCAATCCTATGATTGCACTTTAACAACTAAAAAAAAAATTGTTCTCACACATAAATATACTGGTATATTAAAATATTCTATTGATGTACCAACCTGATTTTAATTTATTCAAGGTAACAACAAATTAATTAAATCATCAACAAATAAATTAAATTTAAAATTGTCAATGTAAAACAGAGCTCTTACAAATCTCATGGTGGCTGCCTTCTTGTTTGCTGGCAGCAACCATAAAAGTTACCTGAGATTTTGAATGTAGGTGCGCATGTAGGTGTAGATTTTGAATACTCCCAAAGATTTATTAATGGAGATAATCCATTTGGCCTGTGAATGGCTTATATATCACAGGCTACACTATTCATTGGAATGCATAGGCACTATAACTAGGACCCTCATGGCAAGGATTAAAGAACATGAAAACACCTTTCTAGCAAATGGTGTATATTCATGTTCCTTGGATATTGGATATAAATTATGGTATTAGTATAATGTTTAAATGAAAATTTGTGTCATAATTTTATAACATTAGGAAATTTAACCATTATATATATTTTACAGAAACTTAATATCTAATACTTAGTTATTTTGAAATTACTTATTTTATCTTATCTTCACTATTCTTACATAAAATAGTGTTTTAATGATAGTAACTGTCTGCAGTAGTAGTTTGGCAATACCATTATCTCCAAAATCTCTCTTCTGATAAGTGACACAAGAATATTTCTCACAAATATTTATTTCTATTTTATAAATATTTTTTTAGTAATTTGATAACTTAAAACTGTTATGTAAAATCTGACAATAATACTATTGCAATATACTTCATATAAATTAATAATACTTAATAAAAATATTATTTTAGCTTTAAGATAGTTGCTGTTTGACTACTTTTATAAGATAAACTATATCTTATTTAAACAGTTGCCAAATACATGTAAATGCTAGTTACTGATTTTTCTTGTTAATCTTATTAGAAGATAAGCATTTTACTGTATATATGGTAAAGATAATAAATTTTTCAATTGCATTAATAGGCCTAAATATATATATATATATATATTTTATATTTTCATTTGATGTTAGATCCATTGTATATCTACATATGCAAAATAATAAATATATTAATAAAAATTAGATTCATTCTTGTAATTGGGTTGCAATTTGAAAATTGTAGACCTATAAATTCCACTGTTGTCTGTCTTTCCTTAATCTCGAGAATGGAGTTAGATGAAAGATGAGACCAAATCTGGAAACTTTAGGGACTGAAGGCCCCAATTAACTATATGCAAACTGGTAGTCATGTTATTTCAATTCAAAACTTTCCCTGAAAGAAGTTAATAGATGACAGGCACGACTCTGTTAAAGGAAAAGTATATGTACAGGGGCAAGACACTACTAATTTGAAGGTGGAGAGCATATATTTTAAATTAATAATAACAATGAATAATTTCTTGTTTTGTATTTAAATTTTTTTTGTAAGAATTAAAGTGGAAATAATTATCAGACTGAAGTTACTCTAAAAGGATTGTTTACGTTCAAATAAACCTTTTTAAACCATAACTTTTTTTAATATAAATATTTTGTTAAAAATTCATAAATATTGATAGACTGATAGGATTAGAAAGATTGACTTAACAAATGATTAAAAATTTATATTGGACTTTATTATGACTGTCACTGCATATATGAACAAATTAGTTGTGTGAAAGTTTTTAAGAAATATTTTTTTCTATAAAGACATCTGATATTAATAGGAAGTAATACACAAATTCAACTCTACGAAAGTATATTAATGCCAAATAATCTGCCATATTATTGGGTCATAATAAGGCTTATTTAATATAATATTTAAATATAAAGTACAGTGAAACTGTCATTAATGGACCCTCTTGAATAGTGGATACCTCGATTTAACATACATTTAAATTCCCAGACTAGGGATGGACAACCCGCGACCCTTGAGCTGTAAGCGTCCCATATTAATACTTTTTGTGGCCTGAGTCACATAAAATATTAATAAATATTTCAATTTCCCAGCTTAAGGAAGTATTCAGCAAAAATTCAAATGTTATTTTCTACAACATATGTATGTGAATAGTTTTTCTTACAATGAATTTAGTAAAAATTAAAACTTTATTGCTTATTTTGAAACAGTATCGTCTTTTATTTGTTTTTTTGTGTCACAACTAGGGGCATTGATAGACATTGGGCATTTTGACATCACACTTTATTCTGTAATATCTTATGGGCCGATATGCATTTTGGGCATTTGCCCCTCTTCTGTCAGCTACATAATAAAACATGGACTTAAATTTTCTGTCACAAAATGTTGTATATTATGATATGTTACAATGTACCTTTACTTTTGAGATATCTTATAAGGTGTTAATAAATATACATCTTACTTGAAAATTACATTAGATAAGGTTAAAATTTTTTCAGTTAAAATTCCTTGGCATTGTGCTTGTGGGAACCAAAATAAGGGAAAATTTTTAGTATCAAAACAAAAAGTGGGTTATCTCAACGTTGGACCCTTTCGTTGTCTTCGAGAAACATGTGGAACAACTGGTACCCCTTTTCTTAAAAACTCATCTTTTCCTAAGATCTTATTCTGTAATGTTTTTCTATTTTAATATTAAGTAGGTTAAGAATATAGGATTAAGTTAGTTGTTAAGCTCAAAGATTGTGTAATTACGTGGCACGAATATTGTATACGTGAGTCTGTGTAGTGATTGAATGGGCTCATTTTTGGTGCAACCGTCACTATAGTTTGTCTCTGTACTCACAAGAGGAAGATGCAATAGAGTTGGGACCTGTATATTTATGTATCTTGTGTCTGCTTGAAAATAGTCTTGTTCTTTATATTACATTGTTGTGATTCAAGTTGCACAGAACACCACACAATCAAAATGACAGATCACTCCACCAACTTTTTTGATTTGGTCAGTTACAAATTATGTTACCAATTACGTCATCACGACATCAAAGTGTATCCAGTGAAACGAGAATAATTTTTACGACCGACTTTACCAAAATAAATGAAAATGTACCTAAAAAATTTAGGGTGCAGTGGGCTGCATAAAAATATTAAGTGAGCTGCAGTTGGGCATCCCTGTCTTAGTCCTTCTGAACCAGAATGTGTTCTTAACTTCATCATACATTAGTTCAAACCTTTTTGACCTTTCCAGGATTTTAATTTGTTTACATTCTCTTACATCCACTTTTTTTTTTTTTTTTTTTTTTTTTGGCTTGCTTGATCACCCTTAGCTTATTGTTCGGTTCTCTGTATTTTCATCTTCCTTTTTCAGAATTTACATTCTTCTACCACCACTTTCATTTTATTCATCATTTCCTTTGTGACCTTGTTTTGTTTCCTACCTGTTCTTCTGCTGTGATATTCACAATTCATTTGGTCCTTCAGCATCGTCTTCATCTATTCCTTTGAATTTTTGTTCAGATATTAATCTAAACATTTCACTATTCCTTTTCAAATTTTCTAAATCCCATTTCTCACTTGTCTTTTTTCTCTTTATGATCTTCTTGAATCTCATTTTGACTTTTTTGAGAGGTTGTGATCTGAATCTGTCTGCACTTGTACGTGTGCTTACATCCATAATAGTTCTTGTATCTCTCTTTAATTAGTATATAGTCTGTTTGGTATCTGTTGTTATCCCCAGGCTCTTTCCATGTATATAATCTTTTATGCTTTTGAAACCATGCTTTAGTAATCACCATACTTTGTTCTTTATAGAATTCAGTCAGCCTTTTCCTCCTGTTCTTGCTTCTCAATCAATGCCTTCTACAATATTTTCCTTTCTTGTGTTTTCCACCACAGCATTCCAATCTAATAATAATAGGCATGCATTTCCTTCTTCCTTTTCCATAAGTTTTTCCACCTGTTCATATATTTCCTCTTTTTTATCTGAATGAGAACTGGTAAGCATATATACTTGAATATCAGATATTTTGGTTCTGCTTGGATTCTGATCATTATGATTCTTCATTTATTTAATCAACTTTAATTACCCAGGATGCAAATACTCTTTTCAATGCTATCCCCACTCCATTCATTGCTTTCCTTCCCCTTGAAAAGTAAAGCTTGATATCATTGCTCACTAATTCTCCAGAATCTTCCCATCTCACTTCACTTAGTTCTGCTATGTCTAATTTATTTATTTTCATCTCATTCTTCAGATTTCCCAGTTTTTCAGTCTTAAAGTCCTTATGTTTCAAGTTCTGATTCTTAAGGGTATCTGTAGTTATGCAAGCTGATGATCTGGGGAGCCCCCTTCTTTTTCCTACTGAGCAAAATGTTGCAGTTGGAAATTGTTACAATACCAATGCTGTTCTTCTCTCTGTTTCTACTTGTTCTCATCTTACTAGGGATGTTGCTACATCAGTAATAAAGCATAGTAGTTTCCTGTTGCTTTTTGCTTTTCCCTCATGTTAATCAAAAGAGTTTTTGTTCTTTGTTAATTAAAATTTACAAAATTTTATGTTTTATATATCATGGTTATTTTGTAATATTGTATAATTTTGTAATTTTCTTATATATGTAATCTAAATTCCATGCACATGCAAGAAACTATTTTTGAAAATGTTAGTTGCTGTTTGTCTTCTATTTCTTGAATTCAAATGTTTTGTTCTCTATGAATGCCCTCTTCTTTTAACAATATTTTTAAACAGGAACATCCCATGCTTTTATTTTTGGTTGCGTATTACCAAGAATATTGTGAAAGCTGAGGGGAAAACCTTTCACTTTTTTTAGTGTATTTATGTGAATAAAGTGATTTTAAAATTTATATATATGTGACTTCATAAAATTATCATTTAATTTGAAAATAAAACAGTTTACCATTTTATATAATAGATAGATGTATCTAACATTACAATTAATTTTCAATTGAAAAATTTTTTTTGCAGCTGATATTTCTCTGGCTGACTTCGGTCGAAAAGAAATTATAATGGCCGAAAATGAAATGCCTGGATTGATGGCAATAAGAAGAAAGTATGGTCTGTCAAAACCATTAAAAGGTGCACGTATAGCTGGATGTTTGCATATGACTATTCAAACTGCTGTTCTAATGGAAACTCTTATAGAGTTGGGAGCTGAAGTAAGTTTTTAACATGTTACTATTATAGAAATAAGGAATTTAATTTGTTATTAAGGAGTAAAGAAACAATTACAGTAGAGCATTGATTATCCGACTCAATTGGGGACTGGGGTTGGTCGGATAACTGAAAAAATGGATAACCGAAAAGTATGAAAAAATACATTATTAGCATAGTATATTAGTATATCCCATGTAATTAGTATATCGCTATTAACCTACTTCGCATTGAATTTTCATCGATGTTAAGCCTAACAAAAATTTTTTTCAATAATAATCGTTGCTATTGTATCATTAAAAATTAGAAAATTAAGCCTTGTTTAGATACTGGCCTCCCTTTTGTGGTCGACAGTGTTGCCAGCTAAAACACGCAAAATTTAACAAAAATAATATTAAAGTAGCCAATACATAGCCAAATATTGTAGTGCCACATCACTAGCGGACATTTGAATTTGCTGACTAGAACGCAGTCAGTTAACTGATGTGACGGTTGATCGGGGGTCGGCTAATCGATGCTGTACTGTAATTCAGTTTTTCTATTTTCTAATTAATCTAAATTTCGCTAGATTACATTGAGCTACATAGCTTGAGTTAATCCGATGGTTGGTTATAAATTTATTCTGATGTTTCTTTTGTGATCTTTCTTTTATATAATCTAAATTTCACAATTTTAAAGTTTTTAAAAATAAGAAAGAATTCAGAAGAAAAAATAAAGCACTAATGCTTTAAAATTGGTCAATTACAAATAAAAATTAAATAATTTTTTTGAAAAATTTGCATTTGATTAAAGCATTTTTTCACGTCACACTATCGGAACCTGTGACCGGTGCTCTATGCGTATACGTTAAATATCGCTTGACAAACGTTTTCGAGCGTTCTATTCGCTCTTCTTCAGGTCAACTCTGACCTGAAGAAGAGCGAATAGAACGCTCGAAAACGTTTGTCAAGCGATATTTAACGTATACGCATAGAGCACCGGTCACAGGTTCCGATAGTGTGACATTATTTTCATCCCGGTGCTGAGAATAGAATAGTTCCTGCATTTAAGCTTTTTTCAATACGTCAGAATTTTATTTAGCACTCAAATTTGAATATATTATGACACTACTCTCAAAAGAACTTTAAAATATCTTCAGCAACAAATAAACTTTAATACACAAAATTAAATTATAGACAAATGTTTTTGATGTAAAGAATAAGTTAAGATCTTTATCTGTTCTCAGATTGTGATTGAAATGCTAGCAGAAATATGACATATTTTGAATGTGTTCAAATATATATAAAATTATGAAATAATGCAAATGGGAGTTAGGCAACTATAAAGGCAATGTTTAAAAACAAAACTTAATGCACTTTTATAACAAATACAGATATGAAATAGTCAAACCTAATGTTATGAGTGCCCGTTTACAAACAATTCAGTTTACGAATAAAACTTTGAATGCCATATTTGCTTTGGTTGCCATATAGTAACTTAGTTTCTGAACAACCAACTTGGCAGAGGCAACCATTGATGTTCAACTTCCTATGTTACAGAAAGTTGACAGCTTGACCTATCAACAACAGGACTACTGATTCACTAGTGGTTCCAAGATTTGCCTTGCATCATTAGACATCACAACACAAACCATCAATGATGATGTTATTCAAAGTAAATCTCAATGTGCTTGCGGGTAAGATACTACTACTGGTTTTCAGTACACATCACAATTCAAATTAAATCAAATTAATTAATAAAAACTGTGTTAATTGACATTTGCATAATATAAAGGACATCCAATAATTCATATTTAAAGGTACTTGATGCAGATTAATAACAAATTTTTGTTATTTAAATATATATATTTTTATTATTTCTCATTAGTACATAATCTACATTCAACATTATATTTTCAGTATATTGGTATTTGTTGTCAACAATAATTTTCAATTCTAAGATAGTATTATACTCCTCAAAAATGAAATCATAATACCACAAAGCCACATGCACATTACAGGACTGGTAGAAGTAAGAGAGATATGCAAATGATTAAAAGAACAAAGACACCTATTTATTCAGTAATAAACAGTAATAAATTTAGGCCACTATATGGTGAGGCATACTATCAATGAAGCAATTAATGGTTGCTTGAGGTATCCTTTGCCAAGCTGTGTCCACTGCAGTATGCATGTCGTCTACAGTATGTGGCAGCGGTCCCCGGTGCACTTCATGTAGGACAATGGATGTCCCATGGGTGTTCGATGGGAGAGAGATCACGGAAGGATGTGAATTCCATTTGATCTGCTGACAGTTTACTTTGACATGTGGTTGAGTACTATGCTGGGTGCAGCCTGCATCAGTGGCTGAACCACAGACTTCACAATGTGTATGACATACTGGTCTACTGTCAGAGTACTGGAAATGTGCACTGGTACTGTGCCATTCGAACGTGATTCCTCCAAACCATGATGCCCAATGTGGGGTTGGTGTGATCCTTGGCAAAAAGAGCTGGCACAATGTTTCCTGGTATACCACTATATCTGTCTACAGCCATCATTCCTCCACAGACAGAAGTGGGATTTATCCCTAAACAATACCTGATTGCCATTCAATTGTCCAGTTGCAATGATGACAATGCCAGGCATGCAGCTCTGTGTTGAACGATTAAATTAATTAATGGCATCTCAGTTGCTGGTTGTTGTGCATACAGCCTTTTGCAAATGGTTTTTGATGGACACACATGCACCGGTTGACAGCGACCTGTGACTTTGAATGTCACATATCGTGGCATACAGATTCAGTCTGTCTTTGGTGTGTTTACAGATGTTCCTTCATCATTGCTTCACACATTTTTGTATGATACATCATGCCCAACACACGGCAACTGTGTGCATAAGCAAATCAGGGTTGTGCAGCTCAGTGGCATGCTGTGACATTTGATGATAGGGAAGGTGGTTTCTGTAAGAAACCGACTTCCAGGGCAATCAGTTAATTGCACGTCAATGATGGTCTAGGGTCCAATAGTATTCCTTTGTTCGATAAACCAGTAAAAGTCGTAGGCTTTTCTAAATGCATTTTTAATATCACAATTATATTCTGAATTGCTAGCCACGATATAAGGGGCTACAATTAGAAATAAAATAATAAAAACTTACATGGTGAAATAAAATTTGTGATGGATGTACTGTACATACCTGGTACAAAATATTCTTCAATTGTATGAATATACTTTTAAAGAAAATTATAATTAAATACTGTATAGCTTTGTAAAGAAACGTACATAAAAATAACATAAAATATTCTAGACACATCCAACACACCTTATTTGCTGAGAACATATATTTATTAAACAAAACAAACGTTTTCAACCCGATTTACGGGCCATCTTCAGGTTAACGTCTTTCGACTCTAATACAAAATCGAACACGTTCAAAATTAAACCAAATTAGAACAATACGTTTAAATTAAATTAATAGAATAAGCATAACCGAAATAAAACAATAAATAATAAAAAAACCAAAGTAACACAAAAATGAATATAAAATAGGGTAATTTGCCGTAAACACTAAGGAACAATTCCTTACATATTAACCCAGATATCTGTTGAGTCACGGTAGAGGCATTATTACGCGTGTTTTTTCTTATTATGTATTTCCACTATGACGGTAACACGGTCGCATCCTTATAATCTAAACATCTATTCGTCAAACTCGCTCGGTATATTGTTAAATGGGAGGATGCCAAAATTCTTGCAAAAGTACACTCACCAACGCTGTCATCCATAACCGAAAAATGCGAAATATACCGAGCGAGTTTGACGAATAGATGTTTAAATTATAAGGATGCGACCGTGTTACCGTCATAGTGGAAATACATAATAAGAAAAAACACGCATAATAATGCCTCTACCGTGACTCAATAGATATCTGGGTTAATATGTAAGGAATTGTTCCTTAGTGTTTACGGCAAATTACCCTATTTTATATTCATTTTTGTGTTACTTTGGTTTTTTATTATTTATTGTTTTATTTCGGTTATGCTTATTCTATTAATTTAATTTAAACGTATTGTTCTAATTTGGTTTAATTTTGAACGTGTTCGATTTTGTATTAGAGTTGAAAGACGTTAACCTGAAGATGGCCTGTAAATTGGGTTGAAAACGTTTGTTTTGTTTAATAAATATGTTCTCAGTGAATAAGGTGTGTTGGATGTGTCTAGTACATTGCTAAAGAAGCTGAGTCAAAGTAAGTCATAAAATATTCTTTACGTTTTAAATCTTAAAGCAATCCACTTAGTCAAATAGCTCCCCATGAGTGGCTAATGGATGGAATCAGAGACCATTTTGCAGTGCATGGATGCACGCGGGCTGCCATATCCCGAGGGTGCCGATACTAGTCAATGTCAAATGCCTCTTTTGTTGCATCACTAGTATACCTGAAAGGATACGACAGGTTGTTCTAAATTATAAATGTTTCTTGCCATAGCTGTAAAAATCTAAATATGTTAAACTTAATAGATTGTTGGTCATTTGTTTTCTAACTAATTTGTTTTAGGACCAGGTGTCCATGGAAATTTCCAAAGTTTACTTTTCAGTCACTCTCATTGAACTGGAAAAATTTCTGTCTTTATTACATCTAATATTACAAAGATATCAGTCCCACTGCACTCGGCTAGAGATTGGTTCGGTTAACCACCAAAGTTTAATATCATTAATGCCTCTTATGCCTGAAGCTACCGTATCAAATTTTATTTCTTAATCATTACCTCATCCTGAGATATTAACTCTTAGACATCTTATTGTCCCCTTGTTATAGATTGTGGATGAGAGGCATTGATGCTATTAATTAAACTTTGGTGGTTTTGAGTCGCTACTAAGGAAGCGAACAAGCTTCCTTGGTAGCGACTGAAATTGACAAATCTTGCGAAGTAATGATTCGAACTAAATTTTGCTAATAAAATGACGTGTTGTAACAGATGCCAAATTTTAAACTTCTTAGAATGGGAGATTTCAGAGGTCAAACAT